TTTTTTTTTTAATTTCATATTTCCATTCTCTTTTTTTTTGGGTCTGATTTTTGTTTTATCTTTAAGAATTAGTTTTTGTATTTTCCACGATGATAAAAGAAACAGGAGAATTGAACTGGTTTATCAAGGACAAATATGGAAACACAATTAATATTTTTTTTGTAATTAAAAACATTGATTTAAGTGAAAAAGAAGTGACACATGTCAAGAAGAGAAGAAAGAAGGTTCAAAAGAGAAGGTTAGAGAGAAGGTTGTTAGCATTCCCCGTGGGGGAAAACACCACAACCTTTTGTAATGGCTGCCACTATTAATGTGAATAGTAACAACCCTTGCCTTACTCATGGCAAAGGGGTGGAAGTGCTCTTAAGGTCAAATCTCCACAAAGACCCTTACTCGAGGAGAAAATTACCATCTCTAAGAGCATCCACAATGGGCTCCATAAACCACCTCTTTAGCTAAAATTTAGGGAGTAATTGAAAAAACTCACCTCCAACCATGCTCCCTATCTAGCTCCTAAAATAGGGAGACCTCTAAGAGCTCTTAAATCTGAGGAAAGAGAAAGTACTCTTAGTGACTCCCTATAATTAAATGCTTCTATATTTAATATTATTTTAAGCATTTATTTAATGTCAACTATTTTTTATTATTGCTTTTGTGTCTACACTTTATTCAAAAATTGAATTAAAATTTATTAAAAACATTTATGTCATTTTAAACTAGGGAGTATGGTTAGAGTTGAAATTTTATAAAAAGTTCCTAAAATAGCTTTATAGTGTTTTTAGCTAAATTTTAACTAAAAAATAGATAGCGTGATTGTGGATGCTCTAATGACAATGGGTGGAAATGCACCTTGCCTTTTGCAAGGGGTGGCACTATTCAAGTGAATAGTATCTGCCCTTTGCCTACCCTTGTCATTTGCCATGACAAATGAGTGAAAGTGTTCTTACATTCTTGTTAAATCCAGTAGACTTTTTATCCCTAAATAATCTTTTAAAATCCCAATCGAACATTTCCGTCTAATTCTCCTAGTAATCCAGTTTTACAGTGAACCTTGATTAGAGCGAAGTGCTAGAGCTGCTCACAGCTTTCGCACAGACGAAAATGGCGACTCGGTTACAGAAGATCGAAGGAGACGAGTCCGTACTGTTGCGCGTAACTCATTCGAACCTCAAGACCTTCTCCGCCGATATCCGCTTCTCCCTCCAGAGCTCTGTGGAGTCCGTCAAGGACAAGCTATGGCGTAAATGCGGCACTTCTGTAGATTGCATGTCGCTCCACCTCTACGACGACGCCAACACCCAAGTCTCCATTTTGGACGACAACTCCAAGCCCCTGGGCTTCTATTCCCCTCACGACGGGTCAGTACACACAAACACACTCTCTCTCTCTCTCTCTCTCTCTCTCTCTCTCTTGTTATTTGTGAGTTTTGATTTGGTTAAATTTGTGATTTTTGTTTGTTTATTGTGTTTGAAATCGAAAGCTACCGGCTACATGTTATAGATCTGGACCCTTCATCAGTGACCTCTGGTGGGTGGCTTGAGGACACATCGTTGGTGGAGAAGTACACTATTTCTCAAGAAGCTTATGAGAAACGAGATGGTAAGTTACGCAATATATTGTTGTGTGTATAGTTCTTGTAAAGTGTATTTAGTTCAATGTGTTTTGTCTTTGAAATCACATTTTTGTGGTTTGTTTCAGGGACTTTTAGAAAATTTAAGGACAAATTGGCATCTCAGAACCCATCAACTTTTGAGAATAAAGTAAGCATCACCTATGTTATTTATTCCTTTAAGATGCATATTGACTGTCAAATCAAATGACACGCCATTGCTTCTACCGGTCCATGCTAATCATGAATTAAATTGAGAAACTTTTGTTGTTAGTCAGCTTTGCATGTGGAAGTGACTTGAGATGTTCATAAGTTTGTTGACTGAAAATTTGTTTGCAGATACCAGAGAACTATATGGAAGATCTCCGTGTGAATATCAAGGTGTGCTTCCTCTTTCCTTTTTCCTATCTTTTTTGTTTAAGTATTAGTAGTTCTTGGGTCACAAGCATAAACCACAAGGCTCAGTCTGTCATGTTAAACAGTTTTCCAGTGGTTTATGTGTACTATTGACTTAGTTAGCGTTGTGGCACATACACAGACTACAAGAATGACATAATTATTTGTCTAATCTTTTTAAGATCTGAAGGTTTGAAAGTTTGTAGCACTTAAATTTCCACGAAATAATATAGGGTGTTGTGTCATTAAGTGGTGATTGTTCCTTACCTTGTTGGTTTCAAGCATTTTAGTTGGATTCGTTTCCATTCCAGTTGCAGTGGGCATTTTCTTCAGCATTCTTGATGGCACTTGAACTGTAATTTTATATGAATACATGTTGATATCATGTTTCTTTAATTCCTTGTATTTTTTGTAGGAGTTGAGAGCATTCTTGGTTTTCCAAATCTTCCTCATATTTGTTAACTAGCATTTTCTTTTCTTGTTTATTGTGAAACAATATTCATGATTGGCTCAGTTCTCCTACTTATATGCTGAAGGTAGGAGATAGATGTGAAGTTCAACCAGGGGATAAAAGAGGTGTTGTTAAATATGTTGGTCGGGCAGAATCTCTGGCTCCTGGTTTCTGGATTGGAGTTCAATATGATGAACCATTGGGAAAGCATGATGGCATGTAAGTGAGCTCCTGACTCATACGATGATTTTTTGGTATGTCGTGTGCCAATAATAAAAATTGTCTATTCTTGGTTTTTTTGGTTCTAAGATTGATGAATATTGAATATTCTTCGCTCTGAAATTCTGCATATACAATCTTATATTTCTTGAAATTGGTGTCCATTACAGTGTTGGTGATCTTTGGTATGTTACTAAATCCTATGGAACCAAAATTCTTTCATGTTGTGATTTTGCTATACCATGAGTAGACATTTTGAATTGCCTATTTTAATTTTGCATTCCTGTTTTCTGCATATTATTTGGTTGAGATTCCTCTTCTTCATATTATAGGGTGAAAGGAACACGATATTTCAATTGCCCCCCACTTCATGGTGGAATGGTTCGGCCAGACAAAGTAAAGGTTTGTATGCATTTGTATACTTGAAATACTTCAAAATGATTTTTTTTTTCTTTCTGATTTTCCTATAGAGATGTGGACTATATTATTGTTTGGTACCATTGGCTGTTTGACAAGGAACATGAATGTGTTTTTTAAACTTTAATACCCATTTGTGGTATTTCAACCAACAAAACAATAGTTTGTGGCTCATCTTTGAGCCCTGGATAGGCTGAACTGAAAGTTAACTTATATCCTTGGTAGTTTTGTTTAGAGAGACTCGTAGCTTTCATAGCACAGGGACCTGTTGCAAAAGTATGATAAATGAAATCTGTCAATGATTTAAGGTAAAATTCGTTGCATGAACCTCTCTCATATTTGACAATTTAACCTAGGTGTGATTGTTTTTCAATAACATTTTTATGACTTATAAGTTATACCGTTATACATAAGAAGAAGAGCCCCCGGTTAAAGCGCAGAGTCAGCTTAGGAATTATTCCTCAGTGATGACCTGGTAAATTGCAAATTGTGGAGTCAGCATTGGCTGTTAAATGCAATTGGATTCCTCTGTATCTTACAAATTGTTATGTACCATTCTGGAGCAAATTCCGTTTCCATCTGAAGCGTTTTATGTTAAATGAAATTGTTTGTGATGACCTAATTGAAAGCGTTTGTTTATAGAGTGGCCTTTGTGTATTTCCTGCATGACTTCTTCATGGAGTTGACTAATGTGACTAATGAAATTTCAGGTTGGTGATTACCCTGAACGAGATCCATTTGAGGAGGATGAAATTTAAGCAGGTCTTAGAGGGAGTACGTATGTACTTCATGATTCTACATAACCTTTTTGGGGAAATCACCCTGAAGTTTCCTTAATTTGTTCAAATTGTAATATTATTGGGAGGGAGTTAAAGAGGAACTGTGTTTGACTATGCTAGCCTTGGTAGGTTATATGCTGAGCAGCTAGTTGAGAGGAAACCATGGGAAAAAAAAGAGTGAAGAAACAATGATGTTGTTGGGATCCTTCTTATTGGGTTTTGTTCTTATTTTGTTTGTGTCTGAGTTCTTCCCTTCTACTAGAGAGAGAAGTTAAAGAATCAAGGTGTAGTAATTGAGGTCTTCCTGAAGAAGTGAAATTTGTAACAAAAAAAGTGGAGTAAATTGAACAAGAAACCATTCTGTAGGAAATCTATAAAGTGATGGGTAACAAAAAAACTGTACATTCTCGAGTTTATATTCGTGTTTGTTCGGTTTGTCACAAATATAAAAATGGCTTGCAAGTTACAAGACAATTGCTCAATCAATCTAACGTCAACATGTAGTTCTCTAGTTCAACGTATGTGAACACATTCGAAAAATCATGTGCGCATGGAAGTGGGCGTTGTTAGAATTTGATATACATTATTGGCTCATTTCTTAACAATTTAACTCTTCGGACCGGTTGTCAAGCACAATAATGAATCACATGTAATCTAACTTACTCGTCTTGTTTATGCATTTTGTGTTCCAGAACATATACAAAATGTGCAACATGTCTTGAATGTTTGCGCATCATTACTGTAGCAAATATTTCTCCATAGGTGTCTCTAAACACTCAATACTACTTTGGTCTTTGCTGGCAGCAAACCGACACCAACTCAAAAAAGGAAAAAAAAAAAAACATGCAACTCTTTTTCCTAACTTCTTTCACCAGCTTGGCAATTAGTAGAAGCCATTACGTTTGAATGTGGTAATTGTCTGGGATAATTACACCTGCTTTCATTGAATACCGTTAAATATAATTTGTTAGGCTCTTCTTTCAACAATCCGACCTTAGCTCAGTTGGTAGAGCGGAGGACTGTAGTTGTTAGAAAGCAGACATCCTTAGGTCGCTGGTTCGAATCCGGCAGGTCGGATTTTTTTCAATTCCGTTTCTTTTGTTTTCCTTTTATTTATCTTTTTAATTTTTATACATTCCTTATGAAGCACGCGCATTTTAGCACTCATGTCCTCAAAATACAATCCACAATAGCACCTACCCCAAACAAGCTGTTTGCTCTCTCTCTCTCTCTCTCTCTCTCTCTCTCTCTCTCGCGATCATTTCCAGCAAAATCTCTCCTTCCGGTTTCTGAACCAATTTGTCTGCTCCTAAATGGTAAACCCATCGGATCTTTACTCTTTTATACTTTATTTTATCCGCGTATGTGTAATGAGCAGCCTCCTTTTTCTACTTTTTCTACTCTCTCTTTGGTTGCCTAGAAAGTCTACGAGTATCATTTCACATTCTGTTTCTCGGCGACCAAACGGACCCTAAAGAAATTTTGAGATTGCTGAGCGAAATTTACATATCGAGGGCATGATTTGCTTGATTTCCATTACTTGTGCACTACAGTTATTATCGTATTCCATCGGACTTCTAAGCTTGAATTAAACTCAATTAAGCATATTTCAGTGATGGGTTGCATTTATTTTTTCCTTTTTATTTTTTCAGTCGAATACTTTGCGATTGTACTTGACGTGTATAAGGAACACTCTCGATGCCGCAATGTGCCTTCAGGTATTATCAATTTTAGTAATTTTTGGTCTCTTTCTGCAATCTGTACAGGCGCTTTAAAAAATTGTTCATTTTCAATAGAGCTTTGAATCTTAAGTATATTGACAAAAAAAAAAGGTATGTTTTTCATGTTGAGCACATCATATATTTATGAATAGAAAAAGTTGGATATATTACACTTGTATCAACTTTCATATGGGACAGTGTACACAAACATATTAAGTGGGTAACTTCATAAATCCTTGCTTCACAGTTTAGCCTTAGTTAAAGATTGTTATGATGTCTTGTTGCCAGTACAGAGTCGGTTTAAACTATGTCTTGTGATTGTACCGAAAGAAAGAAAGAAAATGTCTTGTGAGACCCGACCAGTTATTTATTTTTACTTTGGTTGGTGGGCACTGTCAATTCTAGAAAATTTTGTTTTCTGGTTCTTGAAAGCACGCACATGAAATCCTAATGCTTAGACCCCAGTACTAAATTTTCATTGTTTTCATGTAATTATATTTCAAATGCTTATTCTATCAAAGAAAAGAGAAAAAGTCTATTTGCTTATACTGCCTGATTGATTCTATGTCTTGCACCATATGCTGCTTGCAGAATTTTCCTTGTCAAGAAGTTGAAAGGCATAACAAGCCGGAAGTTGAGCTAAAGTATGTTCATGAGTTGAAATTTTATCTTAATATTACACTTGCTGCTGCCTTAAATGCTTATTTTAATGTTATATAAGCTGTACGGAGAAAACAAACAGGTCCTAGTAAGGTGGCCACAATAAAAATGCTTTTCTCAAAGTATATGCTATTAAACTAATTTAGAAATATTGATTGATGTGTTTTTCAATAAAGTTTTAATCTTCTCTTCATATTTTGCAGGACCAGCTCAGAACTTCTGCTAAATCCTGTGAGAACCATCTTGTTGACATGATAAAGAACAGTTGCCCCCCCTCCCTCTTTTTGTTTTTTTTTTCTTCTTCCTACGATAATGTTATGTTTAAAACAGTTGGTCATATACGTATTTCCTAATGCCTTGCACTGTGTGAAGATTCACATTTTTCTTTTCTACACCTAGTTTAAACATTCCAAAAGTTGTAAACTTTGTCATATGAGTTAGAAATTTTGGCGAGGATAGTTCCCTTTCATGCCTAAACATTTTTAGTAATATAATTACCATTTTCTAGACAAATTCTGGGTCAATAGTTTATTGGGTTTAAGCAAATTGAATATATAAAAAAACTGGAGGCTACAGCTAATAATGTGGACAGCATGCTTGGACTCTATTTTTTTCTACCCGCTCTCTTTTTTACTTTATTATCACTACACTTTTAAGTTTCCATGCCATATGCTAGGAAACAGCTCTTGCCTCTATTTTTTGTGGCTGTTAAAAGTGAAACTTCTAGACTTCATTGCTTATGGTTACAAGATGTTAAAGTTGTCATTGACCACATAGAACTCTGATGAGTCAGATACTCCTAAAAGAATGTGATGGAGATCTTAAGTTCAAATTACCGAGCTTTTTTATTTTCTTTTCAGAAAAGAAAGCTAACACTGATTATTTACTATTGCTACCACAGGTTTTGATATGTCGAAATGAGGCTGAAAAATGCTTAATTGAGACATCTATTAATTCCCTTCGCATAAGCCTCAAGGTATTCATATTTACTTGAATATATTTTAGTATATAGTTGGTCGTAACCCGCTTTCTGTTTTTCTATGCTCAATAGTAGCTGTTTTTTATGGTTTCTATATGGTTTTGTTGTATCTATTTTAGGATAGAGTTGGTTGCAGATTCGGTGTTTTCTTAGAAGCGGACTTGCTGTTCACTTTTCTTGTGCTTTTTTGTCCGGATAGCTTACAGTTCTCACCTGCAAGAGTTTTTGTTGTATATAATTTGGAAATTAGTATCCGATTTATTTTTTCCTTATATCCTTTTCTTTTGGGTGTTCTCTCTTGTATAGGTAAAGCAGGCAGATGAACTTGAAAATATACTAACTAAAAAATTTCTTAGATTTTTATCGATGAGGGCAGAAGCATTCCAGGTATTGAGGAGAAAGCCAGTGCAGGTACATAGATTTCTTGCATGGAGTTCAAATTAGACTTTGTAAATTTATACTGCTTGACAAACTAAGTGGGTGCCATGAACTTGACTTGAGGAATCGTTTTTCTGTAGGAAAATGTGAATTTTCATGTTGTTAAGTCACTATGAAAGCATATTTGAAGATGAACTCCAATAAATTAATCTGCCATATGTATTTACTTTGTGTAATGCTTTTCTATGCAGGGTTATGATATTAGTTTTCTTGTAACAAATTACCATTGCGAGGATATGCAGAAGCACAAGCTCATTGATTTTATTGTACAGTTCATGGAGGCAAGCATTTTTCCAAACCTTATAAAATTGCATGTATTAATTGACTGCTGCTTGAAACGATTGCTCAATTTATACCTTTTATTTTTGAATCGTAGTTGGTCAATTAATATATTTGAGAATACCAATTGCCTCTGTTGGGTTAGGGTGGGTTGTTTCTGGAACACACAAATTTAATGAGTGAAGTTTCGAACACCCAAGTTTCCTGTCCTTTTGCATGAATAGTAGCCATTTGACTATGTATAGCTTTGATGCAAACTCATATGGAATTCCTTTTGTACGAAGAGGCCTTGGAGCTGGTACTCTGAGAAAACAATTTTCTTTGTGTTTTCCCTTTTTTTTTTCTTTTTTTTTTCTTTTTGTTTTGGGTTCCATAAAGAAAATCAATCAATAGCTACATTCGTTGAGGCTTTCACACTCCAATTATTCTTCTCATCTTTTGTGTCCTAAGTCAACGCAACTACAATTATCGTCTTATACAACATGACAAAAGTTACACCTTACATTTTTTCGGTTCAGTGTTGTATGTGGTAGTACACTACAGCATCATCTACATGCAGAGATAACAATTGAAACGGACTTTGGTGGCCAGGCTCATAGCTAATTTCAGTTTGGTTTATCACAAATCACAAATTTTTAACTTCCCCACCTCCCCTGGTATTTGTTAGCAATCCAGCTAAACCATATATAATTTTTTTTTCTTTTCGTTTTTTTAGTTTAATATTAGATTTGAAAATTTACTCACTGGCAGTAATCAGTGTCAAGAGAAGCATATCTGGCTTGCTTCTCTCTCTTTGCTTATGTTGCTACTGATTTTAATCCGTTAGAGGAATGTTTCCATTAAGTGGAAGTCATATAGATATTAGTCAGTAGGATGCATGCATTTTATATGGCGCAAGGCTTATAATGTCGGATATTTTTATGGTCTAGTTGAATCTTTATTGACTGATATGGAATTTCATGCGCTTAATCTGAAGATGTGTGATATCAATATGTTGGTTCTCTATATTTGCTCTGCTGTTATGTTTATGCTTTTAGATTCTTACTCCGTTGCTTCTTGGATTACAGGATATTGATAAAGAGATAAGTGAATTAAAGATGTCAGTGAACACACGGGGGAGGCTGGTGGCCACAGAGTTTTTGAAACAATTTATGTAATATTTCTGTTCGTTACCAAGTTGTACATGAATTTACCTTTTACAGATTCTGTTCGACCATTTGCCATTTTTTATATAGTTAACTTCCCCACCTCCCCTGGTATTTGTTAGCAATCCAGCTAAACCATATATAATTTTTTTTTCTTTTCGTTTTTTAAGTTTAATATTAGATTTGAAAATTTACTAACTGGCAGTAATCAGTGTCAAGAGAAGCATATCTGGCTTGCTTCTCTCTCTGTCTCTTTGCTTATGTTGCTACTGATGTTAATCCGTTAGAGGAATGTTTCCATTAAGTGGAAGTCATATAGATATTAGTCAGTAGGATGCATGCATTTTATATGGCGCAAGGCTTATAATGTCGGATATTTTTATGGTCTAGTTGAATCTTTATTGACTGATATGGAATTTCATGCGCTTAATCTGAAGATGTGTGATATCAATTTGTTGGTTCTCTATATTTGCTCTGCTGTTATGTTTATGCTTTTAGATTCTTACTCCGTTGCTTCTTGGATTACAGGATATTGATAAAGAGATAAGTGAATTAAAGATGTCAGTGAACACACGGGGGAGGCTGGTGGCCACAGAGTTTTTGAAACAATTTATGTAATATTTCTGTTCGTTACCAAGTTGTACATGAATTTACCTTTTACAGATTCTGTTCGACCATTTGCCATTTTTTATATATTTATTTTGTATCAGACGTCCCACCATGTTTAATGAACCACTAGTGTAATGGCTGAAAGATCAGCATTCTCCTCCTGATGAAGCATTTCTTCAAAGACTCGTCGTTTCTGAAATTATTCGTAACTCGGTAGGTAGCTTTGGTTTGCAGAAATGGAGAAAGTTTATAGATGAAAAGTCTGGTATATGCACAACTTTGGAAATGAATTATTCTTCCATAGCCCCTGAACTCAGTTAGCGTGAGACGGGTGTGGTGATGGTAGAGATCCTAGGTTTGAACTTTTGTAATTGACAAGTTTGCCAATCTCTATTTTGAAATTTATGAAGGTTTTTTTTCCTGAAGCACCAAATTAAGTATGTTAAAAATTTAAGGGTAACCTTTTTTTTTTACCTGAAGCACCGTAATAAAATGTTTAGTAATTAGGAAGACAATAATTACATTTTCACTATTCAACATTACACCCATTCATTTTATGAAAGGTGAAGTATTCCCCTCTTCTTTTGCTACGAAAAAGTTTTCCCACAAATTTTATAAGGGAAAACACCTTATGATATCCTTTTTGGCAAGTCACCCTCTTATGCACATTTACTCTATTTGGTTGCCTTTCTTATGATTATAATATTTTATTTCCCCTCATTCCCTTAAGTTTTGTAATAAAAAATGACAAGGGGAAAGCTGCACTACCTTACATTGGCCATTACATAAAGTCCACATGCTCCACCTACATTACCACTAATCTATGTTTGTGCTCTCTTAAGGTAGAGGAGCCAAACCACTCCTACAAAAAGACGGAGTGTGTGTGTGTGTTAGTGAGAAGAAGTGCGAGTGCAAACTAAGTGTTGGTGAGAGTGTGAGCGTGTGCATATCAAGAGTGCATATTCTGAGCAATACACCCACATAGAGAAAACCTCATATATCTCCCTAAACACTCTTCAAGGCAATTCACCAAGAGCCTTGGTCTTGGGTACGTGGAATTCATGAAGTAATTTTTATAGCCAATCTGACGACCTTGGAGATAAAGAACGTGAAGCATCTTAGTGACGTCCAAGCATCTTGGCGGGCTAGTAATTGCAAGCGTTCTTCACATTTGGGATCCTCCGCAAGGTATGTAGTACCTTATACCCGAGTATTATGAATTTCTAACATTGCTATCAGAGCCTGAATGCTTGCTTTTCACCATGTTGAATGATGCATGAGAATATGTTTTGTAATTTCTCAGAGAACTACAATGAAAGCATGAACCAAGAAACTTCAATTTTTGTTTGATTGTTTTTAGATGTTCTTCTGCCATGAATTATGTTCCTCTATGTGATGTTAACTTGCGTTTAATTTTTCATGAAAATTGAAGGAGTAGTATAGGGGAAAATTGAAACCCAAGTGCATGAAAACAGTTTTTTTGGTAACTTTAGAGCCTTTTTGTATGCTGTTAAGTTGTTTTCCTGTACCATTTATTTGCCTTAACATATTCTCTGTTGCATGTGTTTTCCAATGATATATCATATGCATCATTTGGATGTATAATGAAGGAGACAGAGGTCTCCAAAGATGGCCAAATGATAATGAAAATCTGGAATTTTTTCTGGACATTTCAGAAAGATGAGCAGTGTTCTTCGTGAACACATCCTTTTTGATGGCGAGTGAGAGCACGTGTGCCTTTGTAGAGCTTCATCTTAGACAACGAAATCCAACCGTGGACTCCTTCCATCTATTTTCTAAAAATCATTTGGCTAATTATCATTTGGAATGAATATGTTAAATAATTATTTTATGAGTTGCAACAAATAATTATTTTACTGTCACACCGCTCAGACACCGCCATTATTGATCGGGACAAGCATTCAATATATATATTTTTTCGCTGACGTTCATTGGTTTTTGTTATCACTTTGTCTTCACTCTGCAAGTCTATCTGGCTTACTTACTATTTCATTCTCTTACTAGGTGTTTGGCGAGGAGGATCTCTGTTTAGGCATCTTTGGCCAGTGACCATATAGCATCAATCAGCCGCATGATGGGACATTTTTAGGTAAGCATAGGTGTCCTTGTTTGTTTAGTGTCTATTTAATTTTGTTCTTATATTGTGAAGTAGACACTTGCTAGTTCATCACAAGAAAGTATTATCAAGAAATAGGAAATGAATCTTAAGCTGGTTATGATCAATCAGGTTTCTACTGCAGGGGTAGCATACTCTAAGCACATCGTGCGCATATACTCCTATCCCAACAAACAGCTGTGTGGTTGTCCACTTGTTTTCAGATCGAGGCTCATGCTGGTAGTGTTAATTATCTTGCTTTCTCATATCCCAACAAACAGCTGTGTGTTGTCACGTGTGGGGAGCATAGGGTCATTAAGGTTTGATCTATGACTTAACTAATTCTAAAGTGATTGTGCAGGTTCAAGTTCAATGTCAATTATGATTTTTCAATATTCTACGGGTGTGGGATGCAGGCACTGGGACTACTAATTAAAGTAATTAAAAAAGAGAAATTCAGATAATGCTATTCAATAGGTATAGCGGCGCGGCTATTCTTTTTTAAAAAAATTCAATATTTCTGAAAATTTCTATTTATGGATTATGGCCGTGCGGCTATACTATACTCTTTTCACAAAACACGCGCTGGGCGCTGGGCGCTAGGCGCTAGGCGCTAGGCTCAGCTTTTTTCTTTAATTTTTATAAATAGTATAGCTGCGGGGCTATACACCGAATTATTTTTTATATTAAAAACGTTTATAGCCGTGCGGCTTGACTGGGGTCCTTTTTTAAATGCTGTTTGATAAATAGTATAGCCGCACGGATATACTTTTAACATAGATACTGTGATATATATATATATATATTAATAATTGTTTTTCCTCGATTTTTGTTTGTCGATAAGAGTAGTTTAGAACATTATCCATTACTATTAACCCATTACCTATGTCTCTATTGTCCTATTGCGAGTTTTTACTTTTCCAGAGTTATTACCCGTATAAAGAATTACTCGTATTGTGCACGTACGTACATATTTTTCATGTTAATACACTTGTTTGTTACAAAATTTTCAATAATACACACAAAATACTCACATATTATTAAATAAAAATAAAATATATTTAAATATTTAAATATTTAAATACTAATTATTTACTAAGTAAATAATAATTAAAACATAACTACTAATTAAAGTAACTGAAAAAGAGAAATTTAGATTATGCTATTCAAAATTCTATTTATGGGGTTTAGCTAGACTATTGGAAAATTCTATTCATAGAGTATAGGGCTATACTCTTTTGACAAAACACTTGTTTTTTTTTTTTAAAATATAAAATTTTCAATAATACACACAAAATTTAAGTATTATTCGCAAAATACTCACATATTATTGAATAAAAATAAACTATATTTAAATATTTAATTACAAATTATTCACTAAGTAAATAATAATTAAAACATAGATTATGCTATTCAATGGGTATAGCCGCCCGGCTATACTGTTCAGAATTCTATTTATGCAGTTTAGCCGCATGGCTATACGTTTAAGAAATTCTAGTATAGCTGCGCGACTATACGCTTTTCACAAAACTCGCACTAAGCGATAGGTTGGTCCTTTTTTTTCTTTTTCTTTTTTCAATAAATAGTATAGCCGCCTGGCCTTACTGGGTTTTTTTAAATTTATTCTTTTATTATCAATAGTATAGCCGTGCGGCTATACGCTTTACCGGGGGCTATGCTTGCCTCAGAGTAGAAGGAAACCAGAGGAATTTGCTCATATGGCAGCTTGTGCTTCATGATGAACTCCTTTCGCTTCTCATAAGTAAGATCCTCCAATGCTTGAATGTCACCTTACAATGCAAATATGAATTGAGATGTTTCCAAACACAACTTGTAATTCTCCACTTGTTTAGTATATACACAAAGGACTTTCAACAAGCTCAGGTATTGGTGCTATTACCTTCATTAGCTTGCATATCAAAAGTTCCATGATCCTGCGGGTTTCTTTGTCCGCAATTTGGCCTTTGAGGAGAATATCAGAAGCCAAGGGAGTGCCACCATAGGGGCTATGTACCAGTGCTAAACCAGCAACTTTGTCTTTCAAATCACACTAGTAGATTGACAATGCAGCTACAGCATCAACGCCGCCCTTGTTGTGCCCCAGCAGCATCACATGTGTTAGTATGAAAATTGTGTTGTCATTTCCTAGACTCTAGCATAGGTTGGGAATTAGTGTATGAATGTTGTTTACTAGAAGTCTTGGCGCAACACATTCAACCCCGGATTTTCGAAGCATGCCTTGATTGATATGAGGATCTTGACAACAGGTAAATCATGACATAAATCATGCATTCAAAATAGGATTTATAATTAAAGTTATTTTTGAGTCCATTGTGATTTAAGTTAAATCATTTGCATCT